TTTTTCTAGTCCTCTGGTACCCCTTCACTTCTTCATCATACTTCAAACATAACTGTAAATGGTTTTGGTAAGTTTTTTGTTTGTTTGTTTTTAAATCCAATTCTCTTAACAACAAGATGAATGTCTCTCAGACCTGCTGACTTACGTATGTTCCAAATTTCCAGACATTGGATATCTGTTTTACTCTAACACAAGCCTACTTACTTGTATCTTTCTTTCTTTTCAAGTTACTTATTCTGTTTAAACTTTCTTTACTAGCCATTTTTGGGCCGATTTCTACCCAGATTTATTACTATGTGATCCTTTTTGCTTATTTTCTTTCATTTTGCTTTTTTAAACTAGATTTTACCTTGTTATTTTTGAGTAGCAATATGTATCACATAGACGTTGAACTGTTTAGAGTTCCTTTGTTTTTTCTGGAAGAATTTCAGCCTTTCCAATACTGCATTCTCATTCCATGCCATTGGATCATGTCTGTAGATCTTAACGTGAGTAGACAGCTTCATCTTCCTTCTGCGGAACAGCTGGTGATTTTGAAGGTCCAGCCTCGTGGTGTGCTTACCCTACTGAGCCACAATACTGCATCGTAGTGTTGTCAAGTGCCATCGAGTAGGTTTCAATTCACAGCGACCCTGTATAGGGTTTCCAAGGAACTGTCCTTGTAGTTAGCAACCCAGTTTTTATCCTATAGCACCGCACTAGGACTCTACAATACTGCATTCGGTTTTCATTCTTTGCCTTTGTTCTCTGACCATCTGCCAAGATTTTCTTTCTTGTCCCTCAAGCTCTTAGGAAATCTCCTGTATATTCTAGGGTAGAACTTTGTTGTATTTTATAGTTTGTCCCATTTGTCTCATTTCTACTAACTTTCTTTAAACTGAGAATCATGTTTGTGATTCAGCGTGTTTCTTACTGTGTTGAGTTGGGACAACTAGCTTTGCTTGTCTCAGTCTGTTCTTCCCTAGCGATAGGGATTACTTATATAACAATTTCTTTTCTGAGTAGATTTCTGACTCATAAAGTAATGATGAATAACATACTTGATTCATGTTGCATGGCAGAATTCTTACCTAGACAGGGATTTGGCAGTGTGAAGTTTGTCTGAGCACACCTGGTACTTTAAATCTGTGTCATCTAGCCAGGAGCGGTGGTTCTGTTTAAATGCAGAGGCTCTTTGTTTACATGGTGAGTTGAGTCAACGCATTGGAATATGTGGGTTTTATTGTAACTGCCACCTAAAGAATGTGACTATGTCCTGAATCAAAACCACAGAGTGGCTTGCATTTGGTCTCTTTGGCTCTTCTTTTTACTGCTTAGTGGCTTTTCAAATCAATCTAATTATTATTATTTTTTCCCTTTGCTTTTAATCTCTTTGCCTCTCATAAGCATTTCTATTTAATTTTATTCTTTTCCTTCAGATCCTTTCTCTGTTTCTCTCCTGTGTGTATCCCATTGTAGTTCACTAAACCAACAAATAATTGGTAGGATTCAACCAGTGGAGTAGTATAGTGGCGTGGTGGTGGTGGTGTGCCACGGAGTCAGCTCTGACTCATAGCGACCCTGTATAGGGCTTCCGAGGCTGTAAACCTTTATAGGAGCAGAAAGCCTCATCTTTCTGCCGCAGAACCGCTGGTAGTTTCAAACTGCTGACCTTGAGGTTAGCAGCCTGACTTGTAACCACTACGCTACCAGAGCTCCCGGACTAGTATAGTGGTGTTTTGTTATTCCTGTATGAGACCTTTTTTTTTTCTAAAGTAAATGAACCAGTACTATAGATGTTATGCTGGTAAAACAGAATTTATTTATTTTATTTTTAAAATACCAAATTTACTGAAAAGCCTACATTGGCAAAACACTTGTATCTTTTTAGTCTTGTATCTTCTAGCAGTTTTTCCGAAACACAGGAACTGGGCTGGATATTAGAGAGGTGTTTCAGATACCTCAGAAAGTGTCTTGGCGAGGTGCTGTATGATCAGGACTGGACTGCAAACTGCAAGCTTGGAGTTCAGACCCACCAACGGAACCAACTCCCCAACAACAGTCCTTAGTAGTTACAGCTTTTCACTTCTTTCTCCCTCTAAGACCGCTTCATAGTTTAGATTAAAATGAACAAGTGATATGATTAGAGGCATTCCCATCCACAAAACTTTTCCCCTCAGGGTAACCTAGCCCATTCCTTTTTTTCTCGGTAGCCTAGTGTATTGGTGGCAGTAGAAAGAATAATTCCATCAGCATGAGAGCTAACAGCTGGGATGGAGAGAGACCAGGCGCAGCTTTGTTTTGCTTGCGTTCATCTAATAAGCACCATTCCCCTCAGCACCTACCCTGTTCAGATCTCCCAATTCCCACAGCCAGAATTCCCACGGGTCCAGCCCAGCAATCAACATGTGTGCAACCAACAGCTAGCGTTAGAATTGTAGACTGTGGGCCACAAAAGAATGGTTGTGAATGTCTATGGGAGGCTCTCTTGGAAAGTGATTAGCAGAGAAGTTTGAATAGTGGATTATGTGGTGGGCTGCAAATCATAAGGTCACCAGTTCCTATTCACCAACCTCTCTCCCTGGGAGAAAGGGAAGGCTTTTCTGCTCCTGTAAAGATTTACAGCCTCAGAAACCCTACAAAGAGTCACAGTGACTTGGAACCGGCTTAATGGCAGTGGGTTTGATTTTTGAGTTGGTTCATGGTTTACCTCTGAGCCGCTTTGAGTTGCTGGAAAGATAGGCCGCATTATTATGCTCCCAACCACTGGAAGCCAGGAGTAGTTTTCTATCAGAAAATAATTCCACGATGATGAAAACTGGAGATGCTCACTAGATATCATTGAATAGAGATTTGACCCGTGGTCTTCTTAATAGTACCATGCATTCCCTAGAGCTTTTTTACTAGTTAATAACTATTTCATAAAATTATTTTTTAGTTTATAAACAATTTAAGTAGCAATCTTTCTATTTATTCTACAATACTTAATATATCTCTATTTTATTACTTTATATAAATGAACATTTCTTAAATAATTTGTGACAACAGTACCTTTAAATAGTGTTGCTAAGTACTATCAAGTCAGTTCTGACTCATAGTGACCCTGTATAAGGGTTTCTGTGGAGCAGCTGGTGGGTTTGAACTGTTGAACTTGTGATTCACAGTCCAGTGCTGATCCTACAGCACCACACCAGAAGTCCATCTAAATAGCATCTCATTTAAATAGCATTCGACTGAAAAAAAATACTTGGCTTTGGAGGCCAGTGGCTTTATGTTCCAAGCCACGCTACCACATAGAAAGTAGAGAAGTATATTTAGCAAAAAATAAACTGGGTGATAATGAGAACACTCTTCAAAGCATTCATCTAATTTTTTGATTTTTCCAAATTTACACTAAATACATATTCACAGATTATTTTTATTGATTTTCTTCATTGTAAAATCTTCTCCCTAAATTCTTAAACTTTCCCTTTGAGTCCCCTCTTTTCCCAACACCCACAGTATAGTATAATCTCAGAGTGAGTTTAGGTTTTACCTACAATTCTGTAGTGTTTTAATTCTAGCCATGCCTGATCTGTGTGTCAACATGTTCATCTACTTATTTTATTTTTTCAACAGTTGTTTGGTTGGTTAACATGGTTTTAAATTTCCTCCTCCCTGAAAAATGCTGTTCTAGATGCTGAAGATACTACAATAAAACTAAACAAAGAAAAATTTCTACCTTCATATGATACAAGTGTTGATTTCATGAGCTTTATTTATATAGGTATGTTACCATGGAAATAAGAAAACCTCTTTTTTACAACTCCCCTGCTAACATTGAAGATTAATATGTATTGGCCTCCCAAGGTAATACATTTCCTACTCCAAAGGTGAAACCATTTTGGTTATTTGTATATATGATGTTGCCAAAAGAATAAAATTTTACCAAAAGATGTCTTTTTATAGATAGAAACTTAGAGAAAGACCAACAATATCTGCAATGGAGCTTTTACTCCGGTTAAAGTTACCTTCAGAACTCCAGAAAGACAATTTGTATCCAAGTTTCTTAAATTATTTCTTACTTTTTGCTACTTGGTAAATTAATTTTGTTACCCTGTCAGTGATCCTGTACATTTCCTTTATATTTTTCTGCCTTATATCTTCATCAAAATCACTTGAAACTTTTCTACTCAGTTGACTTCTTTATCCATCATCATTCAGAAACTGACATGGCCCAAGTAATCTTTTTTTTGAAAGTTTTTATTGTGAATTATGTGAAGTTTACATGAAAGAACATTAGCTTTACATTCATCCTATCATATTTCGTTTCATTGCAATGATTACAATCCCCTCCATGCATCATCAAACTTCCAAGTAATCTTTTGAGATCAGAAATAAGCGTGGCCCATTTGCCTGTAGCCTTTGAATGAATGCCCAGGGTAGTTGTCTTTGTTCCAGATCTCTTGATGTCCAGCAGCCACAGTGTCTTGCAAGTGCTGGCCTTTTGGCCACAGCTCTTTTCTATATCACTGATGACTCAAGTCAGTACTTACCCCCTCAAGCTCAAAAACATCCCAAAATCCAATTTCTTAATCTGTGACACCATAGACTATTCCTTGGTTTTGTGTCTGAGAGCTCAGTTTTTCGAAGTCTCCTAAGAATATAATTACTTGCTGAAATAAATATATATTTAATTTTATATTGTGGCTATTTTCCAGAATTTTTTTTCCATATCCTTGAAAATCTTGAATGTAATCTTAAAACCAAGATTAGAAGTAAGCATGAACTTAGAAAACCATCTCTTTTTTCGACTTTCTCTCTCACCCCATAGTGTTTTCCTGCATTTCTTCTTTTCCTTCTTGCCTTTGGTTTTACTAACTTTCCTCTGCTTCCCAGAGATTCAGGCTAGAAGACTAGTTACAGAAACTGGGCTATGGATTTGAGCTTCCTTATCCTAGGAAGGATAATGCTGTGGAGGGAATAATCCCAGGAAAAGGAAGAATGATGATGAAAACTTTCATGTTTTTCCTTCTCTCTAGCGTTCCCGTCCACTCTCTGCCAGCGATGCAGAAATGAAAAACCTCGTGGGCTCAGCTCGGGAGAAAGTGCCGGGGAAATTAGGTGGTTCTGTGCTTGGTCTATCAATGGAGGAGGTAAAGAAGACTCTGGTGTAAGCCTTTTTGGGTTGGCACAGGGCTCAGTGAAATGAAGTGAGTGGTTCATAATAATAAGGCCAGTCTCTCATCTTACATTGCAATGGAAAGATTCAAGATGGAAACATTCAGAAAACAACATTTCAATGGCCTTTATTTCTCCCTTCATGTTTCTTTCTAATTCTTGTGTCACAGCTCTTGTCATCTGTCCTGTAACCACACAAATACCAATGTTCAAAATAATTCCTCATTTTTTTTTTTTTTTTGCTCTTCTTCTGTCTAGATCAAAGTTCTACGGCGGGTGAAGGAGGAGAATGATCGGAGAGGTGGATTTATTCGCATATTCCCTACATCAGAGACATGGGAAATATACGGGTGAGGTGACTACCCCTTTTTTTGTTTTTCCTTTTTTAATCTGTACCTCAGGCCCACAGAATTGTCATCATTGGTCTCTGCATGGCATCTTTCTTATTCTGTTTACTTATTAATAATACAATTACTACCCAAAACCAACAACTAAAGCATGAGCAGTAATTGAATCTACCTAGCTACCCTACAATTTTCAGAATCCTCTGTCTCCCTCCTAACTACACTTCCAAAATCAGTGTTAGACACTGCCCTGGATATTATTGCATTCATTAATAATTTGATGGGGACGAAAATGGTCCCACCATTTGTATTGTCCCGAAACTCTACATTGTTAGTTTTTAAAGTCATTGTTGAGCTCTAGTTCACATACAGTGGAATGTACCCATTTTGAATGAAATTGGGTGATGAGG